AAATAACCCTTAATCCCACACCACTACTATAGTTCAAGACACTGTCATATCTTGAATTCTTGAAAAGTCTCCAAATTTGCCTCCCTGCTTCTGCTTTGCCTGGGTGAACCTATTCTCAACAGAGCAACCAAAAGGACCCCTACAAAAGGTAAGTCAGATAAAACACCTTCAGCGCTTCTCTTTCTGAGTAAGTAAAAATCCACTCATTGTGGCATACAAGGCCCTGAGTTATCTAGCTTACCTGTACCTTTCCTGCACCATTTGTCTTGCCCATTGCTCACCCCACTGTAAGGGATGTTTCAGCCTTGGAGTTTTTGTACTTCCTACTCTCTCACCAAATAACTGCATTGCTCAAGGCTTAACTCCTTCTGGTATTGGTTCAAATATATGAGTAAGGCTTTTCCTGGTCACCTTCCTTAGAATAGCAATCTTTTCTCCCCACCTACATTACCCTTGCCTGTCTTATTTTTCCTGTGGCACTTGTTACCATCTGGCCTATTGTATATGTTGTACTTACCTGTCACCTTCCACTGAAATGTAAACTCTGTGAGGGTGGTGGGAGGGGTGTTTTGTTCACTGCTGGATCCCTGTGCCAACACAGCCTGGCGCATAGCATCTATTTAGTAGTTGAATGATACTGTTGATGTCGGCTAGATGCAGTTGCTTTTACGAAGCTAATGTCACAATATGTAGTTTCTCTGTTCATCCCCTTCCTTAGGGAAACAAGCCCCAAGTTCAAGTTTCTCAGGAGAAATCAGAAGTGGTAAGAAAAAATGCTATTATTGTGGACACTTGTGAAACTTGAAACAAGAAACAACAGTTTTCTTATATTCTGGACACAGCATATCACAATCCTACAACAATCCTATGCCTGTGAAGTCAGTATCTGCCTCCCATTTTACAGTTGAAGAAAGGCTATGAAAAGTGAAAGGCTTTTTAAGTTCATACACCAAGCAAGTTCCACCTAACTCCCAAGGATCATGCTTTTTTTTTTTTATTTTTTGAGGGAGAGTCACGCTCTATCACCCAAGCTGGTGTTCGGTGGCATGATCTTGGCTGACTGCAACCTCTGCCTCCTGGGTTCAACTGATTTGCCTGACTCGGCCTCCCATGTAGCTGGGATTACAGGTGCACACCTCCATGCCCAGCTAACTTTTTGTATTTCTAGTAGAAACGGGGTTTATGCCATGCTGGCCAGGCTGGTCTCAAATGCCTGACCTTGTGATCTGCCTGCCTTGACCTTCCAAAGTGCTGGACAGGCATGAGCCACCTCACCCGGCGCTTTTCTTAATAAACCACACTACCTCCTTTCTGGATAAGAACGCAACCAGGAGTAATGGATCTAGGTGTGGAGTCAGCAAGCAAGATTCGTTTTTACTGTCTTTAGCATCAGGTAAAATTGTCCTAAGAATTTCAACCAAGTGTTCATCAGACTAACTGTGGCTATTAATATTCGGGTCAGGAACAGGATTGAATAATTAATATTGAGAGAGGAAAACCTTTGTCAACCAAGATGCCTTCCTAGGACTCCTCTAGAAAAAAAATGGGAAGCTTTTCCTATCTACAATTTTGGTAAGCAATATTTCTAATGGCTATTTTTGTTCTGGGCCTTGAGCTCCGTTTTCTAGTCTAGAAAGTGCATTTCTGGGCTGTGTGTGGAGCATTACCTAGGAGTTTGGTTTCCCGGGTTCCTTTCATCTGCTCTCCTGCAATGCAGGGTGAGCCTAGCCTGGTCTCCAGTTTCTGACTGGAGTTACCATGGCCAAGAGAACTGCTGGCCACTGAGCTGTGAGTAATTTGCTTTTGAGAAGTAAATAGAACCTAACCAGCAGAGAACCCAGAGGTGTGGCCAGTAGTTCTTTTCCCAGGCTCCTCCCTCCCCACCCCCCAAATGACCTTAACCTTCTTTCATAGCTGGAGAGCAGCCAAGTCCAGCCTAAACAATACTCTCAACCTCATTGGCTCTTTTGCCTTACAGCCACTGCCACCCCCAAGTGGCTAAGGCCTTCCCACTAGGCCTGTCAGTGGGGTCAAGGTTTTCTAACTACTGAAAGGCAAACACTGAAGGAAGGATGAAAAATACCTAGTGTCCATGGGCTTTAAATGATGAGTGTGTGGCTCCTGAAGTTGGAGGTAGGGCAGAGTCTTTGTCCTTGGGTGGATAGGCATCTTCAAGTGATCGGGCAGAGGCCAAAAAGATTACTTTTGGTAAATGTATGAGACATGACTAGTGTCACCCCAGGTGTCAGGATGTATGTAAATGTCACCTAGCATCCTTGGAAACTGCCAGTGAATGCCCTTTTATCCACAGCAAAAAGAAGTAGCATAAAGTTCCGGTAAGGCACAGCTGCCTGTCATCAGAAGCCAGTATGGTCACTTTTGCTTCACAATAACATGGTGTCAGAGCCAACACCACAGATTGGGATCAGCTATTCCAATACCATAGGACTGAGCCATGGAAAGTTTAGCATCTAGAAACTGAACTGCCAAGAGTAGGTACACTGGGCTAGTCCTCTGCCCACCCTGGGGCCAAGGCCATCTCCAGAAGCAGAGGCAGGAGCAAGGCAAGGCAGCTACAGAGAGAAATGAATTGTCAGTTGCTCCAGGGAAGTGAGTGTTCTGTGAGAACCACCTAACTTCCTTCTCTACACCTTCAGTGGGAAAATCACCCACTCTTTTTTGTTCAGTGAATTATAGGCCCATCTTTATTGAGCATTGTATGCCAAGCACTATAAATCCTATGTGAGGTAGATACCGTCTCCACCAGGCAAGGATTGTTTCTGTCTTGCTTAGTGTTGCATCCTCATCCCATTACATAGTAGGCATTCTTGTACTGTTGAACAAATCAAACAGATAAGATAGGAATTTGATGGTGGAAAGAGTAGGTCAGAGCTATTAAGACTTGGTGTGCCCATCTTAGCATAGCCCGTAAATACTTTTAGACATAGGGGAAAAAAGGAAGAGAGGGAAAGAGGTAAATTTGTGAAAGATTAAAATGGTGTGGCATGGGAGAACCAGCCTGGGAGGCTGAGACCTGAAATCAAGTCCCATCACTACCACTAGCAATGTGATTTCTTGCCAATCACTTCCCCTTTGTGATCCTTAGCTCCCTCATCCATAAAATATAGGTATAGAATTAAAGAAATTGATTTATTGACCAGATCTTTATTGAAGACACACAGTGTGCAAGGCACTGTTCTAACACTGGGAATACAATGGTGAACAAAGCCCCTGCTCCTTCATTACACTCAGAAGCTTACATTCCAGAAGAGGGAAACAGATATTGAAACAAGCAAAATTCATAGACAGGACAAGCATATGGTATTAAGTGCTATGAAGAAAATAGTGAATGGGCATGGTGGCTCACATCTGTAATCCCAGCACTCTGGGAGGCCAAGGTGGGCAGATCATTTGAGCCCAGGAGTTCCAGACTAGCCTGGTCAATATGGTGAGACCTCATCATTTGTGTGTGTGTGTTTTTTTTAAACAGAGTCTCACTTCTGTTGCCCAGGCTGGAGTGCAATGGTGTGATCTCAGCTCATTGCAACCTCCACTTCCTGGGTTCAAGCAATTCTCCCTGCCTCAGCCTCCTGAGTAGCTGGAATTTCAGGCGCCTGCCACCATGCCCAGCTAATTTTTGTATTTTTTAGTAGAGATGGGGTTTTGCCATGTTGGCCAGGCTGGTCTTGAACTCCCGACCTCAGATGATCCACCCACCTCTGCCTCCCAAAGTGCTGGGATTACAGGCGTGAGGCATGGTGCCCGGCCAAGACCTCATTTTTTTTTTAAACAGACTGATGAGATAGTACAGGGAAAGCCTCTCTGAGGAGGTGACATCACTCCTGAGACCCAAACACAATGGGCTAGCCAAAGGGTGGTCTAGTGGTAGAGTGCTTCAAGCAGGGAAAATAGCAAGAGCAGAGCTAGGCAAGTTCAAAGAACAGAAATGATGTAACCCTCTTAAATTCTAAGCTTCTAGAATAGTAATGCATGGCTTGCATTGTCCAGGTTAGGGATTTGTATGTGATACTGTTTCTTGTGAGGTGGCATATGTGTTTCTTAATGGAAGTGGCTGGGAAGTGTGGAGCCTTTCTGGAGCCCTGGGATATAGCTCTGTCTCACTTGCTTTCCACAGTTCTGGTAGCTCAGCTGGCTCCCTGGGTAGATGCAGGCTCCATCTTAGCTGCAGACTCTACAAGCACACGGAGAGGCTGCCTCCTTCACTACTCACAGCCTTGGAGCCCCAGAATCCCCTCCTATCCCATCTAGCCTTCTTCCAATCTGAAACCAGAGAGTCAGGGCTTTGAGAGCACAAGATTCAGCTTCCTTGTTTTCCTGTCAGAGCATAAGCCAGAAAATGAAACAGGAAACAGAGCGGAAGAGGAGGGGGTTGGGTAGCAGAGAAGGAAAGAAGAAATTGCAGGAAAGTACAGCTGAAAATCTGGATAAAGTTCTACCTCTACAGGGTGACAGCTTAGCTTTTAAAAAACATTCTGACTTGTCTCGAGACCCCTGGCATTTTTACAAATAGATTTTTGAGAGAATTTGGTGTGGACAGAGGGAACCCTGAGAATGCATGTCTTTTTCCCCTTGTGAATTTACAGAGCAAGGACAGTTCATTTCTCAGTTTTGTCTTTGCAAGAGAGTGCTGCTTGGAGCCTTATGGTGGACTTCTAGAGTTTCAAGTCACAGCCTTAGGCCCTAGTCACAAGTGTGCCCCCAGGCTTTGCCATGTCACTCACTGGCCTCTGGAGCTGAGAACAAGTGAGTGGCACTGCAATACCTGGGGGAAGGGCCATGAAATTCCATTTTTTCCCCCTTCTCCAACACACAACGACTAAGTGTGATTTGTACTTTCTCCACCTTGCACACCACAAATATCTGAAGGCGATTTACGTCTCAGGGACTGAAATGAGTTATAAAGGGTCAAGAGACTGATGTGGGCTGGTCTTCCCCTGGAGAGGTAGCAATCATCTCTTTGTTCCCACCCACATGAGTAGCTGTTGCAGAAGATAAACCCCTCCCAGAGCCAGGCTGTGGCCAGAGGCTAACACGGACCCTGGCTTCGTTTAGAGGGCAGATAACTGAAACCACAAGAAGGCTTTGGAATCCCGAGAAACAAGAAATCCACCAACGGAGAAGGATTTATCATCTGTTTCCTTTAAGGAGGGTGTAAAGTTGTTCTAACAGATTCCGTTACAAGGGTACCAACTGGCCGCTCCCCACCATAAACGGTTTTGTTGAGTTCGCCTCTTTTTTTTTCTTTTTCGGCCCCAAAAAGAGAGAAACTGCTTGAGTGAGGGAGGTGAAAGAAGTCTTGGAGGGTGTTCTCTGAGGTTTTCCTCACCATCCTCATTAGCCATCTGAGGAGGGGCAGAGGACTGAAGTAGGACAGAAGGTCTCTGGTAGCTAGAGGAGGGGAAAATCAGGGGATCCCCCACTTTCTTCACACCCAGGACGCAGGGTGCCGCTGCCGGCCACAGAAACCCCAAGAATGCTTTTCTTTGGCTATTCAGAGGACATCTATTGTGTGCCAGGCCCTGTGCTGAGCTGTTGTTGCCTGACAGCAGTAAGAGCGCGGCTCCGGCTTCTGTGAAGAGGCTGCGGGTCAGCCCCCAACTACTAGAGCCTCAGCCCACACCGAGAACTCATGTGAATGTCAGCGGGAAGGAACCGGGGCAAGACCACTGACTCAAACAGCAGCCTTGGCTCACTATTTGAAGGCGGGGTGGCGGGGGGCATTGAAGGAGAGCGAAGTGCGAGAGAACTCTTCAGGTGTCACCAAGGTGGGAAGATGCTATGCGGCGAGGCGCCGAGCGATGTCCCCCGCCCCACTCGCCCGGAGTCAACATGGCCGGCCCGGAGGGAGGCGGGGCTGCTCCAAGTCCGGGCAGGAGCGGGGCGGGGACGCCGTCGGCGGAGCCAGCGCGCAGGCGCGGGCCGCGTGGGTCCCGGATGGAGGAGCTGAGGTTCGGTCCCCGCTGGAAAGGTCGGGACGGGCAGGCGCTGAGGACCCGGTGCTAGCTTGGGAGCCCTGGAGTTCTGGCGGGAGGGAAGCTGTCAAATGGAGGCCTGCAGAAATGAGATAGAGGCCCAGAGAAGCGGGGAGCCCCGCCCCTCCGCCATCGCGGCCTCGGGCGCCGCCTCTTCCTTTCCAGCCTCCCGCCCTCGCCTGCTTCCGGCCCTGTAGTCTGGTGGGGCTCCGCAGGCTCCCTCGGGAGTGGTGCGTGGGCCGTGGGCCCATCTTGGGTGAGAGTCAATGATTAGTCCCCAGAAGGGACTGTGTCCAAAAGGAGCCGACCAGAAACGGGCTGCGGACACGGCTGGGCTGACAGAAGGCGGCCCACGAGGCCTTTGGCTCTAAGGACCCTGGGTTAGAGCGACTTCTCTAGCCCACGCAGTGGGTGTTGGTCTTACTCAGAGAGTCCAGAGTTGCAGTTCAGCAGGATGTCCCAAATTCTCAGATAGGGCCCAGCTACCCTAAGCATAGCCAGCAAGGGCAGGCTCTGGTATGGAAGTACTGGGCTAGGCGTTTGGGTGACCTGGGTCATAATCCTGGCTCTGAAAGGGCGCATACCCATTGGCGAGGGATGCAGGCTGTTACCGTCAGGTTTAAGAAGCAAAAAACATGACAGCCTCTTTAAGTATCCCTGCGTGCGTCACTTAACCCCAGTGAGCCTCAGTTAAAATGAGCCTCCATAAAATGGTGATGGTAATTATACTGGCCTCATAGTGTCTGATGAGATCTCTGGGGCTTATTTGTCTCACGGGAAAATGTTTAAAGAGTGAAACTAGTTGATCTGTAAGTGTCCTCCCAGTTAAGAGTCTGTGATTTGGCAAAGGGGTTGTTGGGAAGTGAGGTTAGCAATTAGCTGAGAGGGAGAATTGACTGGCTTTGTTTTTACTTGGTTTACCTGTAAGCAGAGTGTGGGCTACACATCTGTAGTCTGTGAGGCTAGAGTCTGACTCCGAGAGAGGAAAGGAAGAATGCAAACATGGTCAAGTGGCATAGGTGGGTTAAGTGCTTTTCTGTTCCCAAGTTATCTTCTGCGTGCCAGTGTGAAGCCAAGGAAGGGAAAACAAAAAGTGAATTCACCCGTAGGACAGGGAAGGAGTAGCCGTGTGAGGTTGGGTGTGCCTATTTACGTGATTTCTCTCGATTCAGCGAGTCATATGTTGGAAACGTTGGGTAGATTCAAGAACGACCGCTGCTCTCTGGGGCTTTCAGAAACTTGTCTTTGAACTGAATTTTCGTGAGCCAACCGGTGTGGAATTGGGGGCCCCTCCCTTCCTCCAGGCCTCCTGGCGGTGGAGTAAGCAGCAGGCGCCCCCTTGTGCCGAGGAAAGAGTACTGTTGCCATTGGCCAACTTGGCTCCCTTTCTGGGAAAATTTTATTTTCCTGTGGCTTCTGTGACTTTGACGTCTTGCTCTTGACATGAGATTTGATGGGAAGAATACATGGGTCAGTGATTTCATATCTAGAGTCAGTGAACTGCTGATGCTGTATCTGGTCCCTACCACTTCGATTCATTCAGAACACAACTTTAAGATGCCTGTTTGTGTTCTAGGCCCTGGGATATAGTTGTGATAAAAAGCCCCTGCCCTTAGCAACTTAAGCAATAGCAATAAAGGAAATAGGGCAGAATGTAGCGATAGCATAGCACACTGGCTAGTGAGGATCAGAGAATTTCAGAAACAAGTGATAACTACAAGTTTGGTTGGTATTTGCCAGATAAGAAAGAGTCTTCCAGCCCTCAAATTTTTCAGTTCAAATTTTTTTTTCTTTTAGGCATAGTTTTTCACTCCAAATTGATGAGCTGCCTCTGATGCTTTTGCGTCCCTTTTGAATTTCTCAGGCTGGTGTTTGAAAGTTCTTAAGGAGCCATTATGACTTCTTTTAGCCTAAGGAATTGTAAAAGATGCTTTAAAGTGCGTTCCTTGCCTCTGAGTGGCTTTGCAGTTGTTTATACATTGCTACCATCCCAACAAAGAGATGGAAAATAACAGTTTTCCTCATCCCTGGTAGTCTACTCTGTTTCAGCAGTGTGAGCTGGCTGAGGTCCTGCTGAGTGGTGGTTTTCTTTTCCTTTCCCACTTAACAGACCAGCTGAACACACATCAGAGAGCTAAGCTACAGTGTGTAGTCATTATGGTCTTCCAGTATGGTTTTATGCCCCACTTTGGGGACTCTGGTTTGGGACCTCGTTTATTATTCTGGGCAAGAGGAAAAGGGCACACACCAAATAATAACAACCACAACATAGATTTGAGTAGAACTTCACACTTTGGTCTGTTTCACCATCATGACAATTTTGTGAGATAGACAAAAAAAGAAGTTTGCTCCCATTTTTTATATAAAGAACTGAGGCTCAGAAAGACTAATAAGAACTTGTAAGCAACGGAGTCTGGACTTGAACCCAGATCTTTTGCTCCTGCAGAGGTGCATTCAAGAGGCTTTAAAAGATTTTCTGTGGGGCCGGGCGCGGTGGCTCAAGCCTGTAATCCCAGCACTTTGGGAGGCTGAGGCGGGTGGATCACGAGGTCAAGAGATCGAGACCATCCTGGTCAACACGGTGAAACCCCGTCTCTACTAAAAATACAAAAAATTAGCTGGGATTACAGGCACGCGCCACCATACCCAGCTAATTTTTTGTA